GACGACACGGCAACGCGATCCGGTGTCAACGAATCTCTGCTCGAGAAGCTGAAGCGGAACAGGAGGCATCGGATTAGAAGATGGTCGGAAACTGGAATCAATCTGAAGCGTGATTGAGTCATCAGCAATCGGGATTCTCGTCGGAGGAGGTAACGAAGGCAAAGCGTGGGAGTTACCGAAACCCAAAGAGAGATCCGATTGAACACGGTCCATGAATCAATTCCCCCAAAAACAAAAAACAAAAACGAATCGAAGAAATCTTTAGCAGCAGAAACAAGGAGAAGATGAGGTACAACAATGAAAGCTTTGATTATTATTGTGTAGAGAAGAAGCAGAGGTTTCCATCAAAATTCCTAAGAAACCCTAAAAGATGAGAAATCGAATGGAACGGAAGCTATGGATGGATATTGGGGAAGAAGAGAATTGGGGAATAATCAAAAATGGAATGTGGAAGGGCTACCGGCTGAATAGGTGGAGACGGCAACGTGCCAATGTGACTGATTCTAGACGGTGACTTGCTGTTCGACCGGAGGGTTAATGAGGAAAACCGGGAGTAGCCGGTGACTTCTTCCAGTTTTTTTTTTTCTTTATTAAAACATTTTATGTGTCTAGATTAATTGTTTGGTTCTTTCATCAAAAGAATGTCTTTACGGAGCATTCCACTTATTCCACACAAAAATTTACCATTTACAATAAAAGAAATGGAATAAATATTCCACGTATCCCACAAAAAAAATTATCAAAATTCAAAGGAAAACATTTCTCTGTAATTTTGATGTGAAATGAATGAGATAGATTTATCCCATTCTTTTCTCTATTTCATTCTTCTACATCCCATTCAAAAATATTCCACCAATTCCATTTTACGTTTACCATTTGGAGCCTTAACTATACTATTTGACTAAGAACCGGCAAAAAACAAAAAAAAATTGACTAAGAATTGAATTAGATGAATCAACTTTAACTAAAGAAGTTTAAAATTAACCTAAAATATGGTTTAGTGATTTGTGCTAGTGTTGTTATTGTGTTATTATCAAAGTTCAAATCCATATTGTTGATAAGAAAATTACAATTTATATAAGAAATATCATAAAATACTATTTTAAATGTTTTATTATGCTGTTAAAAAAAGGTTTATTTTCTGTAACGTCCACAATCTTAAAATTCAAAAATATCACAAGCTTGTGGTTTATAAAAAAAATTAAGAGTTGGAGACAAAACAAAAAAATGATTATGCATTTGTGCTAGATTACATAAATACATAATTTATTACAAAAAAACTATGATCAGTTATTGCCTATTATTAATTAAATTAAGTATCTGTAATATTAGTATATATGCCAGGGTATAAAGAAACCTTACTATGCTGAGTGGGTGCGAACTATCAATATTCAATATAGACGCAACATATAATAGAATTTGAATTGTAATCATCGGAATTTATATACTATTATACAAATAAGTTTAAAAATTTAGATGAAATGATGTGATAATCAATAAAAAAAAATTAATAGAATTTGAAATTTAGGGGTATATAATAGAAGTACAACAAATAAATCTTTAATCATTCACACGACAAAAAAGGATACCTCAACTAATTAATTGGAAGTATTGGAAAATGAAATAAATTTGTATGTATAAACCATATAAGGTTATTTATTTGTTTGTTGGTCAAAATATAATTTCTTTGAACATCTAATTAAATTTTATAACTGGAAATAAATCACCTGACATATTAAATTCTTTGAACTAAAAAAACAGTCAAACTTGCAATAAATTTCCATTTATAAGGATTGTTACTAATGCCATTGCATGTATTAATTTGCATTTCCGTTACAAAAATACAGACTTGAAATTTTC